AAATTACTCAGTGCCAACTCCCCAAGTCTACTTCCTTTAACCCTTTAACTTTTTTTAAAATTTGCATCATTTCAAAAATATAATTTTTTGTAAAAATAACATCTTAAATTTTTATAATTTTTTGTAAATGTGTGGGGTTTTTCCTGCATTGAAATTTTGATGATGCAATATTGGGTCATGTAACCATATAGTATCATATTGTAAAGAAGTCATTACACAAACATTCCTGCTGATGCATGTTGGACTTCCCCACAATGCACAACACATTCACCTACCAACACTTGCTTTTTAAGACCTGTCAGTGGACTTGACCAGTGATTGGTTATAACTCACATTTTGTATGTTTATTTGGCAAATAATGTAATCACTATGACTTTAACTCTGTTACACAACAGGTGAAACATGTACAAATGGTTTTTTGAAATTTTACTTTCTCTTCTTTCCTTATGCTTCCACTGTCCCCTTATTTTTATTCAATGTTCCCCAATTGCACCAAAGGCTACAATTGCCCCTCCTGCACCCCTAGGGGGTGGTATTGCCCATTTTGGGAACCTCTGTGATAGTGTATGATTCTGTAAGTTGGGGCACTGGTTATGAGAAAGGCATTAAGAAATTAAAAGCTTCTTCAAGTCCAAAAAGAAGGGAGAAAGAAAGAAGTTAGAGCATCATAAAATGTTATTATTCAGTCATTTTTAGTTGTATCTGACTCTTTGTGACTGGTTTTCTTAGTAGAGATACTGGAGTAATTTGCCATTTTCTTCTCCAGCTCACTTTACAGATGAGGAAACTAAGGGAAACAGGGTTAAGTGACTTGTCCAGGGTCACACAGCTACTAAGTGTCTAAAACTGGATATGAACTCAGATTTTCCTAACTCCAGGCCTACTGCACCACCTAGCTGCCCTGGGATAGGTAGGCAGACCTATTCAAAATGAGACCTCCCTTGATGTTTTACTCAGAATCCATTTTGTTATCTGCTTTGCTTTTTAAAAAACTGGAATTTCTAACTGCATTTGTGATTAGCCAACTCCTTTCCAGAACATCGATTCCCAGAGGAGGCAGATGTTGAGGCTACATTAAAGAAAGCCAGGCAGCCAAGACTTCAGCCTTGACCTTGGTTGCCAGAAGGAGGAGAGGAAAGAGGACCATGCAAGGCAACTTGAGAAATAGTTAAAGAAAGGGCAGAATAGTTCAGTTCCCTAGTGATGTTGTTGTTGTTATTTTTGGTCATTTTTCAGTTGTTTCTGACTCGTCATCCAGACCCCACACTTTATCCACTGAGCCACCTGCCTTCCCTATTAAAAGCACAATCTGAAAGTTAGCCATGTTTATTACATTGTGTGATGAGGCCATTTTATGTAAAGTATTTATTGTCTCTTGACGGTTATTGCTGAGTTTTATTATTATTATTGCATTCTGAATATTCTCAAGAAAGGATGCTCCCAATCACAGAAGCTTAGGGACTGGACCTGTGATTTCATTGGCATAGGGAACTCCCAGGTGAGGAAACTCTATTTATTAATGCAGGTCAGCACGTTCTCAATGATGGAAAGCTGCCTAGAACACTAAGAATGAGTTGCCCAGGGATGGGCTCATTTTGCTCTTCATTATTTCATGCAAATCTATCCATGTTTTTCTAAGATCATTGAGTTAGCTCAAATTGTAATATGAAGACTGATTGTTGTTCAGTTGTTTCAGTCATGTCCAACTCTTCAGGACCCCATTTGGGGTTTTCTTAGGAAAACTACTAAGTTGATTTGCCATTTCCTTCTCCAGCTCATTTTACATGTGAAGAAACTGAGGCAAACAGGGTGAAGGTGACTTGCTAAGGGTCACATAGCTAGCAAGTGTCTGAAACTAGATTTGAACTCAGATCTTCCTGACTCCAGGCCAGGTGTTCTATCCACTGTACTACCTAGCAGGAACACTTTAGGGGCTTGATAAATGCTTCTTGATTGATTAATTGATTGATTGATTGAGATATAAATCTGACACCAGACAGATATGATCTCAGGTTAATCCAGTTTTCAGAATCCTCTCATGCTGAATTCGCCCTTTCCTAAACTCCACTGGTTTATCAGTAATAATAGTGTTTTCTTTTGATGAAATGGGGATTAGGAGAGCTAGCCATCCATAGTACCTCTCCTGGAGAGAGAAGAAAGATCTTAGTTTGAATGTTCTCCTTCCTTTGGATACAAGGCACAGTCCTTTCATTAAGCAATGACTGAAGGATTACACCTAATCTAAGCCTCTTTTGCATCTAGCATTTAGAAGCAGGAGAAATTTGAATATGGAGGATATGTGTTCTTTTTCCATCTGTATATTTAGTTTCTGGTGATGGAGTAAAAAAAAAAAGCAACTAGCATTTATATAATGCTTTTAAGGTTTGCAAAGCACTTTACAAATATCTCATTTTTTAATACACACAACAACCCTGGGAGATAGGTGCTATTATCATCCCCATTTTATAGATGGGGTAGCTGAGGCAGACAGTGGATAAGTGCCTTGTCTAGGATCACACAACTAGTTCATGTCTAACACCAGATTTGAACTCAGGTCTTTCTAACTTCAGGTCCAGTGGAGTCTGCTTTATCCACTCTACCATCTAGCTGCCTGAAAGGGTATCCCCACTAAAAGTTCCTTAGCTTTGAAAATCAGTTCCTGATGTTGGTCTTTGGATTAACGTTTGCAGTTGGGGTTGGTTGCCACCTATTGGTGAATTGCCCAGATGCTGTAATAACATTTATCCCAGGATTTATTTTCTGTATCGTCAGAGATGTAGTAGTGCTGTCTGGCAGTCACTGTGGAGTCTGTTTCTCCATGCTGACTACATTTTATTTCTAGGAAAACCCATTAAAAAGGTAGTAACCCCTTTATTGGACTAAACTGTTCTTTCTTATAAACAGACCATTTAACCATCAGCTACAAAATCCTCCATCAAAAGTATCATTGCTAGCAAGAGGTAGCAATGGTACAACAGAAAGATTATCAGATTTGGAGTCACAGGTTTAGGTGACTCTTTGTGGCCCCATTTGGAGTTTTCTTGGCAAAGATACTGGAATGATTTGCCATTTCCTTCTCCACCTCATTTTACAGATGAGGAAACTGAGGCAGAGTTAAGTGACTTGTCCAGAGTCACACCAGTAGTTAGTGTCTGAGGCCATATTTGAACTCCACTCCTGGTGCTCTATTCACTGTGCCACCTTGCTGTTAGGACCTGGGCTCAAATGCTAGCCCTGTGACTTAGTAACTGTGATACTTAAGCAAGGCATTTAACTTTATGAGACTCAGTTTCCTCATCTGAAAAACAAAGAGTTGTACTAGATGTGCTGTAAGGTCAGTCTCAACTCTTATATTCTGTTTTCACATTATTGTGTTCATCAGAGCAGTCTGTAATTATCCTTCCTGAAATCTGCAATTAAAACAAATATTTGCTCAGCATTTGCTTTGTATTCAGAACACTGCTAAACACCAGGGACACAGACAAATTTTATCTGGTATCTCAAGAGATCTTAAGAATATATTATAAAATTAGAAGTCTTTACCTAGCATTATTGAAAGATAACTGTTTTCTTCAGGTTACTCAGAGAGAGTGAGAGAGAGAGAGAGAGAGAGAGAGAGAGAGAGAGAGAGAGAGAGAGAAGTTCAGATAGAAACCTGAGGTTTTGATCTAAACCTAAGGAGCTGTCCAAGTGCTTTTTTTATTACTGGGATTTTGTTTTACTAAATTCTGCTTGCAATACATGAGGTTTCGAAATATTTTTGTCACAGAGGCATTTATTGTCATAGAAATTGATCTAGGGGTGTGCTAGAGCCAGCTTGAGGATGAGAATCAATTGTTAAATTTTCAAGGTGAGCCTGGAACCTTGGAAATCAACAAACACTACTAGAGCTTGATTTACTGTTTTGTTCCTAGAATTACGACAGTAATGGAGAAGATATCGATAATGCAGATTAAATTTAAAACTGCATCATGCATATTTCTGAAGAGGTGATTATTAAACATTTACCAATACACCACTGATTTGACCTGTATCCCCCCAAATCATCCCTCAGTTCATTGTCATATAGACATGGGCTATGGTTTTTAGTTTACCCTATGCAGTTAAATTCAGAATTACATGAACCACAAACACCTGAAAAACTGGGGCTTGGGGGTGGGAAATGAAATGAGAACAGCATGTATTACTGCAATTTCTGAATGAAAAGATTCCTATGCTCTCAGGAAATCATACATCATCATGCCATCGGCACAGTAATACATAAACAGCCCCCCTGCCTCATCCATTTGCCCAAGTACATTGTGAAGTGAAGAGAAATGCTCACACAGAATAGCAAGCAGGGCTCTTTTCTCTCCTCTCTCTCTCTCTCTTCTCTCTCTCTCTCTCTTCTCTCTCTCTCTCTCTTCTCCCTCTCTCTGTCTCACTTTCTGTCTCTGTCTCTCTGTCTCTGCCTGTCTCTGTCTCTCTCTGTCTCTGTGTGTCTGTCTCTCTTTCTCTCTCTCACACACATACACAGTTGTGGCTTAGTATCCACTTAACTTGTTGTGAAGAAAGGTGATGGATGAATACCTTAGGCCCTACTGCAGCAACTACAAGCCAGGCATGTTGAGAGCCTAGCTTGTAATGGGCTTGCCGTTTCAGGAAGTAATCAGGAAGGCAGCATAGTAGACCTGGAGGCAGTGTGGAGCAGCAGAAAGAGCACTGGCTCTCAAACCAGAGGACCCTGCTGAGTTAAAGTCCAACCCCTGATACTTAGTAACTGTGCTACCTTGGGCAAATCGCTTAACCTTTTAGACCTAAATTTCCTCATTTGTAAAAATGGACTGAGACTAGATGACTTCAGAGGTCCCTTGAAAGGTACCTAAATCTGTGATTCTAGGGTCAATAGGCTTGGTTCTACCACCTCTATTTCCTAAGTCATTTGCCATGTCCTCAAACCACACCTCATGTTTTTTGGGTTCAAGTCCTTGTATCTCATTTGCCCCATTTTAAATCTTCAGCCAACTGGAAAAGTGCTTTCTGGAAACCGGCTTAACCAACCCTTGGTCCACATGGAGCGTCTGGAACTGCTCAAAAATGTCTGCCGGGATGCGGCTCTGAGGAATCTCTCACACACTGCCGTCTCAAAGTTTGTCTTAGATCGAATATTTGTCTGTGACAAACACAAGATTCTCTTCTGTCAGACTCCCAAAGTGGGCAATACACAGTGGAAAAAAGTTCTGATTGTTTTAAATGGTATGTGAGGGGTCTTCAGGTATGGGTTGATGTGGGCATGTGTGATTTGGATAAGGGAGGGGCATAGGAAAGAAAGGAAAAAGTAGAAAGTGAACCCTTGTAACTTTTGAAAGAAACATTCTCTACTACAAGGACAGCCTAGATGATATTTATATTTTCCCTCCTGTTTGTGCTTAAAGCCATTTTTAACTGGTTGGAGATTAAATTAGACACTAATGTGTTATAATTGTTCTTTAAAAGGATATATCCAAGGCTAGTTTGCCTGAATGATACTGAGAGCTGGCATCTTATATGTATAGTACTTTAAAGTTTGCAAAGTGTTCTATAGACGTTATCTCATTGCATGGGAAAACGAAGATAAATCTTGATCTCAAGCAGCCTGACTGGTCAGTGATCAGTTTTTTCTGCCTCATTATTGCTAAATTTGGCATGTGTCAGTCTCTATTGCAGTTATGAGGTGAGCAAGCTAACCTTATGACAGACATTGCCTGTGAGAGGAAACCTCCCCCACATTCTACTGTCTGTGTCTGAATTCAGGGCTTAGAATGAGGCTAGAAGCTGCTTAGTTTTCCATCTGTAGACAGAGCATTTGAGCATGAACAGGGCATGGGAAGGGGAGGAAGGAAACAATCATTTAATAAGCACAAATATGTACCAAGCCGTGTGCTGAGTGCTTTACAAATAAGGAATTGGTCTGATCTCCACTATGCATCTGCCTCATCATCTTGACATATGAAGAGGCCATACCCCCTTTCTGCTGATGAAAGTGAGACTTCACTTGAGAACAAGCTGACTCACACCATGTAGTGGTATAGCTAGCATCTCTTTCAAGGATCCATTAATTTGTTTATTTAAACATCTCTACACAAATGGTCAGCATTCTCTTCTATAATTCAGGTTAATTGTTACCTCTATCCATTGAATTCCTTCATCTCTGAAAGGCACGTATTTCAAATAAACAGTAATAGCAGCCCTAGAAAAAGAAAAAACAAACATAGAAGTAGAAAATCCATTTTGTTTCTCCATCATCCAACCTATTATTTATCTATATAGCTTAGTTTCTAATTTGAGGCAGTAATATAGCGAACAAAGAGCTTTTTTTGAAGTCAGGTAGATCTAGTTTCAAATGCTGCCTCTGATAGCTTTGTGATCTTGGATACGTCATTCAACCTCTGTGCCTCATGCAGCTTTTTAAGGCCTTCCCTACTAAGTCCTGATTGCAGTCTGCATAGGTAGATTACTTTAAATGTTTTAGGTCATTTGCATTTTTTTTAAAGTGGGACAAGAATAGAAAGAGAAAAATGAAAGCATTTATCCTTTGAGTCATAAAGTTCATCATCAGTGTAAGAGATATGTTGCATAAAAGCCTGAATGAGTATTTTGGCAGCATGTCCAATCTAGCAATCTGAAATTGAAACTGCAATGTGCGTCTAAGACAATGAGTGTATAAAAATGTCTCCCTAAGTATGCCATGGTAGCATGAGTCACAGCATTCTGAAGAAGTAAACACCCACTTACAGGGGCAGGAATCTTAGTTGGTGAACAAAAAATAGATGACTAATTTGCACTGAGCTACGTAAGAGAAAAATGAATAGCTGCTTGGCATCGTACTTGAAATAATTCTTCATAGCATCCTGTACCTTGTGAGCAAGCAAATAAGCAGGCCTAGATAGGGCATCTGCACAGAGAATTTGGTGGAGTGGATTGAGCATGAACCTGGAATGGGGAAGACCTGGTTTAGAATCTTGCCTCAAACAGTTCCTAGCTTTCTGACCCTAGAGATGTTATTTAATTTCCCGATGACTTAGTTTCCTCATCTATAAAATGAGAGGTCTTGATGGTCTGTAAAGGTCCCCATCCACTTCTGAATCTATGATACAATAATCATAAAACAGACAGGACTACAGACAATGATTAGATTGTCTAGGGAAGATTGATAGGATCAGAGACTTAAGGATGGAGAGGTTCTCATTCCAAACCCACTCATTTTGCAGATGCAGAAAATTAGATTCAGAGAATAAGCTATGGTCACACAGTGATAGAGCTCAGATTCAAATCCAGGTGCTCTTCATCTAAATCTAATACTCTTTCCATATTACCAGCCCTATGTGGTAGGTTCCACAAGTGTTGTTATCTACATTTTACAGACCAGAAACCTGAAGCATGGAGAGGTTCTAGGACTATAGCCAAGTCCTATAGCTAAGAAAGGTGAGAGTCAGGATATGAACTGAGGTCTTTTTTTTTGGGGGGGGGGAGCAATCAGGGTTAAGTGACTTGCCCAGGCTCCCATTGCTAGTAAATTTATGAGTCTGGATTTGAACTCAGGTCCTCCAGACTAGGTATTCTATCTACTGCACCACCTACCTGTCCCAAACTCAGGTCTTCTTGGCACCATATCTGGCACCCTCTCTACTTCACCGTGGTGAAAACTGAAGTCCTTTAAACCATACATTTATAAGGCAGAACTAACACTGAGAAAGCTTTAGAGGGGTAACAAAGAATTGGTTAAAAACTTTTCAATATAATCACTATGATTTATTCCCCATTTGGTGTCTTTCCTGCTTGGAATTAGGGACAGCTTGGTGGGTACTGTTGCTAGGGCTCTAGACCTGGGTTTGAATCCTGACTCTCAGCTGAGTGACCCTGAGCAAAAATCACTTAACCTTTCTTAGCCTCATTTTCTACATCTGTAAAATGGAGATAATAATAGTGACTACCCCTAAGGTTGTGAGGATAAAATGAGTTAATATCTATAAAGCACTTTGCAAACCTTAAAGCTTCCTATAAATGCTAGCTATTATTATTATGCAAGTTTTTTTTAAGCTATGTAAGCATCTACTCAAGGAAGAACAAATATGGAAAGAATCTAGCTCATAGCATTCTGTTTTGAAGTCATGTCCTTTATCCCACCAGTGTCTACACTGCTGTAGACTGTCAGTATGGGCTGGGAGCTGATACTTTAGCAGGTTTTTGCAATTTTGGGCCAGTATAAACACTACAGAGATTTAGAAATTGAATAGAAGGTCCTTAATTGTATAACTAGAGCAATTGTGTACTATTTAATTGTAGATTGAACCCAGTTTAAATTCACTAAAGGCTCCAGATTCATCACAATTTTTCACACTTTTCCCCCTCATTTTTAATCAACACCCCCCCCAAGTTGGCTACTGGGTTATTTAAAACTTTTTCTCATCCTGTTAATTTAGGGTCTATTCAACATCACAGCTTCTGGGAGTGATACAATGACAAGATGACTAACCATAACTCCCTAGCTAGACCTGTAGATCCGGCAGGAAAATTCTTCAGGGCTGGTGATGATAGGTTAGCAAAATCCTCCAGAGAGAAAACTGTCCAGAGGAGTCCATGAATAGGGTTGCCAGGAATAACTGTCTCCCCCAGCATTCCAGAAATAACCTGGAGAACTTATTGAGATAATAACACCCAGGGTACTTAGAAACAGTCTGTGTTGGCCCTCTGTGTGCCAATTTGGGTTATTATCTTCTAGTTATACTATCTAGTATCCTTGGGAAGCCAGTCAGGATTCTTCCTTATGCTGCACATAGGGATTGTAAAGACCAAGGCAGGAATTATCCCCCTTCTCCCTCGAGAAGTAAATAGATTTAAATCTCTAAGTGCCTTTAGACTCATTCCAAACTGTATTTGAACACAAACTGCTGAAGGGAAAGGGATAAAGGAAGTAGGGTCTTCTCTGTGACTAGGTAACCTTTTTTTTCATCGGAACGAAGAGTCTTGTCTTAGCAAGTTGTCTCTCTCTGTTTGTTTCCCAGGAGTTTTTCCTTCCATTGAAGAGATCCCAGAAAATGTGGTACATGACCATGAAAAAAATGGCCTGCCACGTTTGTCTTCATTCAGTGACTCTGAAATTCAGAAACGGTAAGAGATTTTTCCTAATCAAAGGAGAGAGGTGTCAGAGTCAAGTGAAAACTGACTAAGATTCACTTCCCAAAATACAGATAGAACCAGTCTTCATTTAAAAAACAAACAAACAAACAACTGCTTGTTGGCCAGTCATTGTGACCAGAGCCAGAATGTTCAGTGTTCTAACATCTACCATAGCCAAAGTGGTTTTGATATGACAGTTCCCCTTTTATTTGAACAGGCTTTAACTGTCTAAAATGTTTGCTTTTCTTATTCTACAGACTTCAGAGAATTTTAACTTAAACCTGCTTTTTGATAACCAAATATTTTTTTTTAAATTCGGATCCTCAGGAACATTTGAAAACTCCTTAAATATTGCAGCCAAATTTCATTTATATAATCTAGTTAAAATAAAGCCATTCATAAAAACTGTTAATAGCCTTGGTTGCAGGGCAACTCTATACAGGCTTTTGCCACCGTTTCTAACACATGTCTTTTTGCTGCCATTATTTGTGTCTTGATAGCTCCCACCAGGTGATTTGTGGTAACAAACCAGAGCAGTCCATGCCCACAAGTTAGACTTCTATCAGATACATGTAATTGGAAGAATAAGGACCATGGTTCCTATTTGCATTTCTAAAAGTTGTGAGTTTGACTTCGCCAGCAATAAAATCCAGCAACGTTAATTGGTTTGCTGGCCCCTGGTGGGGTAAGATTATCATTCATCCTTTTTTATAAAGCAAACTATAATTGTTTGTATAGACAATACCGTATACTAAATTCATTTAAATATATAATACCTTTTTTTCTCTGACTCAGACTTGAATAAAGCTTAGTGTTATTTTTCAGTATACCTCTACATTTTTCTTTCTTTTAAAGAGATCTAATTTGGGGGACCCAGCCTACATTCAGATCAATATTGAAATTGGTTAGTTTTACTTTTAAATTGAAATTGACCCCAGTTAGAGTAATGGTTAAGGGGAGAAAAGAATTGTTAACTATATTGTCACTAATTTAACAGTGAAGAGCATCATTTCCTTAAATATTCCACCTTCCACGGGGCCATGTTTTTTCAAGGATTCTTATCCTGTCCAGTTTATGTTATTGTTCAGTCATTTTCAGTCTTTTCCAACTCTTCATGACCCTATTGGGGGTTTTCTTGGCAAAGACTGGAGTGGTTTGCCATTTCCTCTCCAGCTTATTTTATAGATGAGGAAACTGAGGCAAACAGAGTTAAGCGACTTACCCAGGGTCACACAGCTAATAAGTGTTGGAGGCCAGATTTGAACTCAGGTCTTCCTGACTCTAGGCCCAGCAGTCTATTGTGCTACCAAGCTGTCCAATTTATACTCAATAGCTATTTAGAGTACAGGTTCATGAAACTAAACAACCAATATTTTATCAAGTGCATTACTATACTCTGCTACTCTTTCTAAGCTCTAAATCTCTTTTTATTTTCTTCCTCCTTTCTCTTTTCTAAGTAGCTCAAACTACCTTACAAAATGGACAGACTTAATGTTTACAACTCCTTAATTCATTCAAGATCTTTGTCTCCAGACAAAAAGGGACCATGCCCTTATTACTTCTGTTCATTTTGAAAACATAAAACAGGGTTAAACAGAGTTTTCTTTACCCTATTGCTATAAAAATTACCTTTATTCCTGCAGCAATTGACTTTTCCTTTGTTTTCTTCTTTCTTCTTTAGCTTGAAATCATACTTCAAATTTTTTATCGTAAGAGATCCCTTTGAAAGACTCATTTCTGCTTTTAAGGACAAGTTTGTACATAATCCTAGGTTTGAGCCTTGGTATCGGCATGAGATCGCTCCTGGCATCATTAGAAAATATAGAAGGAATCGAACAGAAACCAGGGGTCTTCAGTTTGAGGACTTTGTGCGTTACCTGGGGGACCCAAACCATAGATGGTTAGATCTTCAGTTTGGGGACCACATCATTCATTGGGTAACGTATGTAGAACTCTGCGCACCCTGTGAAATAAACTACAGTGTGATTGGACATCATGAGACGTTGGAGGAAGATGCTCCATATATCCTGAAGGAAGCTGGGATTGATCATCTAGTATCTTACCCCACAATTCCACCAGGCATTACTGCGTATAACAAGACCAAGGTGGAACGCTACTTTTTGGGAGTAAGCAAAAGAGACATACGCCGTCTCTATGCACGTTTTGAAGGAGACTTTAAACTCTTTGGGTATCAGAAGCCAGATTTTTTGCTAAACTGATGCTTGGGACCTATGAAGAGAGAAGTGTCTTCCTTAAACCAAGGGATATCCAGCTGTGTATCTGAACCCAGAACTGGTTTCCTGAACCGCACTTTCATTTTCTAAAATTCCCAAGTGATAACCATTGGCCGGTTGTTAACTCTTTGGCATGTGAAATGGAACCCCTCTTAGTAACCATCCTTCATTTGTGCATAGGGGGCATTGAGTGGCACCATGGTAACCAGGACATCCCTGGCCTTCCATTCCTCCAGGAACAAAAAAACGAATTTAATCTGCAAGGCGGGGAGTGGGGCTTGAGGAGAATAATACAATTTTAAGAGTGGTTTTGGACAGCAATCAAAGAGAAAGACTTAATCGCTAATGAATTAATGCACTGTAGGTGGAATTGTCATTTGTGAGTTGCCAGTAATGGTACCTAGTGCTGACAGGAAGAATAGAAAAGCTAACAGGCTGTGAAAATTGTAAAGACTAAAATTATACCTCTGGGTTTCATTTTTTTCTTTTTACTTGTATAAAAACTGAGGAAAGATTTTTTTGTTTTGTTTTTTCATAGTCACGTTGGAGAGAATTTGATTCCTCCCCCACTGCAATTCAGTTGTGTCCCGAAGAGCAACTTCAGGAGATTTTCTTAATGGAAAAAACGCACCAGTGTAATGATGTCCTAAAGGCTGAGCCTTTGTCGGCCAAGCAGTTTACCTGATCCCATCGAAGAATTCCAAAGTTCATCGTGTTAGATTGCTTGAGACCAAAGGGAGAATGCGGATTCTTCTTCTCTGAAAAGGGAAATTCTTTGTAGGCATTAAGGAAAGCTTAGGGCAATGTTTTTTTAAAAATCTTTTGAATTTTGAAGTTTGGGTTTATTAAATGCCACCCTGACACTGCTTTTTCAATGCTCTACCCATTAGCAACCCATATTTGAATGCCCTAATCTGAACAGGAGCAGTCCAGTGCGGGGTGCTTGGTAGGGTCTCCTGCTTCTTATTCCAAGGTGCCTGTCCTGGTCCTAGGCCTGCACTGTTAGTGTATGAGGAAAGCAGGGATGCACTTCATTGTCCTTGCCTTGGATCTCAGCAAAACGCCCTAGAGTGGGACCGCGGCTTCTACTTGCATGTGTAAAAGTTGTTAGTTTGAGTTCACCAGCACTAAAATCCAGCAACGTTAATTGGTTTGCTGGCCCCCGGTCGGGTAGGATTGTCATTAGCAGTTTTAGCAGTATCAGAATAGACCTCTGAGGTACAAGAGGCAACAGGCAGAGGATGACCCTCCCCTGGGGTGTCAATCTCCCTCTAGGTATTGGAGGAGAAGGAGTGAAATATGATTAGGTCTTACCGTTGCCATCACATCTAAAGAAATACCCTAAGTATCACAGATGAACCATATACTACTCCATCTGAAGGTGGAGTTTAAAAAAAGGTGAGGGGATTTTCTCTAATAGGTAAAGTAGCAAAGTCTTGACCTGGGCCCATGTTGTTGAAGTGGTTCTGGGGGGGGGGTAGGTGGGTGGGTGTGTCTGTCTGTCTGCCTCTGTCTCTGTCTCTCTTTCTCTCCCTCCTCCCTCCATTTTTCTCTCTCCCCCCCCTCCCCTTTCCCTCTCTTTCTCTCCTTCCCTCCCTCCCATTTGTCCCTTCAAAGACTGATGACAGTGGTATGGGCCTGATAGAAAGAAATCATTTAAAGCTCAGGTGCAGTATGGCCTGGAGGTTAGCTGCAAATGCTGTCTTCTTGCCTTCTTGGGACTATTTCTCAATGTCATATCTGTAACCTACCCTTTGAATAATACTGTATATGTGTGTGTGATATGCAAGGATGTGAAATGATACCAATGATGGCAAGAGAGGTCCGGGCAGCAAGGTGGGTGATGTAAAGGAAAGTTGTTGGATTTGGGGTCAAAGGACCTGGGTTCAAATTCTGACCCTGTCACTACCTATGTGACTTTGGATAAGTCACTTGACTTCCATAGGTCCCAGTTTCCTCATCTGTAAAGCGAAGGGGTTGGACTGGGTAATGTCTGAGGTCCCTTCCACCTCCAAAGGGTTACATGATTTTTACAACCAGCCACACAATTTGTCCTAATGGCATCCTATGGAAGCAAGAAGGGGCCCTCAATATTAGAGAATAGGAAAGAAAAATAAGATTTAAAATATGTGCCAAACCTGACATGTGCTGCGGCTCAGAAGAAGGTACTATAATAGCTGAACATCATCCCAGACACATCTTGACACACCAGGTGGTCTGAGGGAGAGCACTCAGCTGACTGTTGTTAACAGGAAGGTCTGAAGCAGCAAAAGCTTCAGTGCTCTTGTGTGGTGGGGTTTTGTTTTTGACAGATGCAATTACAGAGTCATAGACTTGTTAGTCCTTAACCAATGTGTAAAGGATGTAACCTTTGAGTTATTTTTATATGAAGTATTAGCCAAGACCATTGTTGAATACATTTCAGATCTAATGACTTGATCGATTACCTCTTTGCTGACTTAAAATGTAACAATGTGAATAATGTTATTGTGAATTAAGGCCTTAAGGTTAGTCCTAATAAAAAACAAAAACAAAAGATAGACTTTTCTTTCTAAAATGAGTTTTGGGGATGTTTCTGAATATGTTGCCTGTTACCTTAACGTAGAGAAAACACCTATGTCATGATGTTCTAAACGCTGAATCTTTGTTGGCCGAGCAAGTTACCTGACCCAGCCCAAGAATTTCTCTGCAAAATGTTCCTGGTGCCATATCTGTCCAAGGCAAAGTTCATCAAACCCAAGAGTTGCAGGGAGTTTGGTTAGAGGAATGTGTGGCCAACCTGTGATAGGGAGAGGCCTGATGCCAAGATCTCTGAACTTTGTTGGGTGTCGTCTTCATCAAATACTTACTGGGATCACCATCTGTTAAGGATAAAGCACTCAGTTAGGGGCTTAATAAATATATGTTGTGAGAAGTAACTTAGTGTAATGAGGGACTACCCTGAACAGGAAGTCAGGGAGACCTGAGTTCACATCCTTATTGCACTAGGGAA